GATATTTGTAATAGTACAATTCTGTAAAATTAAGTCAGTGACCTGGGAACAAAAAGGTATAGTTCTAGTGCAATCACATACCATATGGATAATGTATCCATATATCAAATGACATTCATGACAGGTGGGGGTATCCAGTTTGCACATTTTAAACAGGAGTAAAATATGCTCTTTGAAAAATCCATAGTTGTGTGAGTTTACCTTTAGCGTATACGACTCTGCAGAAATAAGAATGAGAAAGTTCCTCCCAATCCTACTGTTTCCGCTAATCAAGAATATGTCTACTCCATTATTCTTCAATACAGTGTAGGTTAGAGGGTTTTCCCTGCATAAGGGTATAATATAATCTAGAAACTAGTTGTTTGTGCACAGGTTGGAGTAGATCCTGTCCAAACAGCCATTTTATATTTAAAGGCTGTGACAACAGGAAGCTTGTTATCAATAAACATTGCCTGTCCTAAAAAAAAGTCACTCTAATATTTTGTTGGACCACCTTTCGCTTTGAGTACGGCATGCATTCGCCGTGACATCGTTTCAGTAAGCTTAATTAATCCTGCATTAATCTTTCACCAAGATCATGTAGTGATGATGGCAGAGTCGGACCACTGCGTAACGTCTTCTCCACCACATCCCAAAGATTCTCAATGGGGTTAAGGTCTGGACTCTGTGGTGGCCAATCCATGTGTGACAATGTTGTCTGATGCTCCCTGAACCGCTCTTTCACAATTTGAGCTCCATAAATCCTGGCATTGTCATCTTGGAATATGCCCAATGTGCCATCAGGGAAGAAAAAAAAATCTATTGATGGAAAAACCTGGTGAATTCAGTATGTTCAGATAGGCAGCTGACCTCACTTTTTGGGCACATAATGTTGCTGAACCTAATTATCTAGTGGAAGGTTCTGACCTATCTGCTTAGCTAGATCCAGGTAGTAACTTCTTTCTGGCCAGGCAGTATATTTTGATAAGGGTAATTTCTATTTCTACTCCTAAATATCTAAACGTATTAGTAAGTTTTAGACAGTAAGTTAGTTTCAGTGTGCTATAGAGACTGCATGTTTAAAATAAAAAAATAGAAGGCTAATAGTTCAGGAAGGAAGAGTTATAAATAGTGTTGTGGTATTTAAACAAAAAGCTTAGCTAAAAAAATTAAACAAAGTATACATTTGGATATTGGGCTTTTCGAAAATGGCTGTTGCACTGGGAGGATTTCATAGTATTGGAGATGGTGGGCATTTCAGAAGGCAGAAGGATGCAGGTGGGATTCAGTGCTGGGAGGCAGGGAGATTTACTTTCATGGGTGCAGTGAATGCACTGTCAGGGGTGCTGGGAGACAGGGAGGTACATTGTCAGCGGTGCAGGGAGTCAGGAAAGAACAGAGTTAGGGGTGCAGGGGTTCTGTGTTACAGGTGCTGAGTGACCGGGAGATCATAGGGTGCAGAGTGCCAGGGGTACAGGGTTCTTCACAGGCCGCAATACAAAAGATGTCTTATTTGTGAGTCTGCAAGGACACCTCTCCTTTGCACTCTGCAAGGGAATTTTCCCCTTTGCTGAGTGAATGTGAGGAAAATTCACTTTGCAAAGAATACCCAATCACATGCAAGTGAAATAACAAAGAAAAGTAATTTTACTTGCACATGATTGGATGATGGAAGTAAGCAGATCTTTACATCACTAATATAAGGGAAAACTAAAGGCCTGTTTGCCTTTAGTAAATCAACCCCATTGACCCAGATTTACCAAAAAGAGTAGAGCATATTTACATTTAAAGTGAATTTTCACTTACCTCAGAGAATGAGGTTAAACAAAGCAAAACTCACTTTGCAAGTTATAGCAAAAATTGCACAAAAAAAAAAAAAGGGATTTCCATTTAAACATGATTGGATGATTAAAGTCAGCACGGCGTTCCCTCATTCACTAAGCTAAGAAAATTCACTTAGCTTAGTGAAGTTAAATTCTGCTCACCTCATTCAATCATGTGCAAATGTGCAAGTGTATATATATATATATTTTTTTTTTTAATTTTCCCTGCTCATGAACGGGCATCCTTTACTAAGATAAGTGAAAATTCACTTTGAAAGTGAAAGCTCTACTCCGTTACTCCTCTACTCTAGTAAATCAACCCCACCATTTTCAATCCCACAAAACGAGACTGTCACAACCCAACCCAAATCCTGATTATGCTCCATCTTGTGGATATTTCATGTTAGTGCAGCACATTTTCTCTTTTGTTGTAATCTGCTGGAGCCTTTACATACCACATGAACTTGACTATTTACTCTGAAACTCACCTCAGCCTCATTGTCCGATTATAAGTACTCTGCAAATAGTGTTTATATCCTGAACTGAACTTTGCCTGGCTACCCAGCTTGACTTGTGTATGGATTTGTTCTGTCTGCTACATGCCATCTGACCTTCAGCTTACCTGAACATGAATCCTGCCTTGAAAT